GGTGTGGCCTGGCTAGAAGGGTGGCTTATTTTGTCATGATCTGGTAGGCACAGTTGCCACGGAGGGGAACTACCTGGCACATGTTCTTGTAGAGGGCCCACTGGGGCTCCACTGGCCCCAGGCCTGCGACTGGGGTCTCTCATCACTTGTCTGTTAACACCTGCTTTTCTGGTGACCAAATTCAATCTGATATTTGCTTTCACAGCAATATAGTACAAAGAAGAAGGGTCCCTAGAGGAGTTCTGGTGGGACAGCAGTTACACGTTGGGCTGCTAACTACAAGATTAGCAGTCTGAAGCTACCAGCCCCTCTGTGGGAGACAAGACGAGGCTTTCGACTCCTGTTAAGGGTTACTGTCTCATACCATCTCAGCAGCCCATTAGGGTAGCTCTGGCATTATGAGTGGGAATTGACTTGGTAGCAGTGAGTTTTTTCCTTCTTTTTTAGAAAGGTCCCTGGGTGGCACCAGTGGTTTGCATTTCAGTTACTAACCTGAAGGATGATAGTTCAGCTCCATCAGAAGGGAGCACCTCAGAAGAAAGGCCCTGGTGATCTGCTTCCCTAAAGATTGCACTTCTTGTTAGATGCTCAGGTCCGCTTCAATTCATAGTAACCCGATCGATGTGCAACAGAACGAAACATCGCCCGGCCCTGTGCCAGCCTCGCCATTGTGCTTGTGTTTGAGCCGTGGCTGCAGCCGCTGTCAGTCCATCTTGTTGGGGTCTGTGTTAGACAGGGTTCTCCAGAGAAACAAAACCAGAATGCTAATAATTTTATATAGATAGATCAATAACATAAGAAGTAAACACTTAATTAAATCATAAAGCAGTACAAATGGCTCAGTGCAACTCACTCCTGTGAGACAGTTGTGAGACAACCGGCAGTCCTTCAAGTCTTGAGGGCCACTGGGTAGTCCTCTGTAGAGCAATTCAAGCTATCTGGTCACAGCAAGACAGGTCACCAACAGCCAGCCAGACGACAGGGTCCGACAGTCCTCATCTCAAGAGATGTAAATTCCAATGGTGTGGCGAAGCAGGTCTTGAAGGAACCTCAAATTACAGCGACACAGTTAGGTGTCCCACAGGTAGTGTAACTTGCATATTGAGGCACAGAACAAGCAAGGCAGCCATGAGCAAAGAGCAAGAGACGAGAGGCAAGGCTCGCTGAGCCATTTATCTCTCTGCCCTGCAATTAATCCCACATATGTTCATTGTTGGCACAATAAATGTTAACTATCTCAGGGTCTTCCTCTTTTTGGCTGATCCTCTGCCTCCATCAATGCCACAGCCATAGAGGCCCTGTGTGGTGGTTTTTTTCTGTCCGACAGGGTCACTGAGTTGGGATGAACTAGATTTCAGTGGGTTTGTGAGGAATGCTAGTCGGCCCATAAGGTGACATAAGCAGTTTGCTTTCAGTTGCTTAACCCAAAGGTTGGTGGTTTGGATCTAACCAGTGGCCCATGGCAATCCACTTTTGTCAAGATTGTTGTTGGAATCTCTTCAAGGTGATAGAGAGGGGTCAAAGAAGAGACCCAAAGTCCATCTGGACATTCCCATGCAGAGGGCTGCACGGAAGAGAAAATACATCCAGGGGGCAGTTTAACATGGACGAAACACACAACACCCCTCTAGATCTTTAATCTTTCCTCCCCCACTATTAGGATCTCAGTCCTACCTTGGAAATCCTGCTAGACCGATGTACATACAGCAGAACTCAGGATAGACAAACCCCCTCAGAAACAGTAATGGGAGTAGTGATTCCAGAAGGATAGGGGGAGGGAAGGGGAAAGAAGTGGGGGAAGAAGGAATGGATAGGAATGACCGCAGAATAAGCCCCCTCGATAATAGGTGAAGGGATAGAATGGGTGGTATAAGATATGTATAAATAATAATAACAATACATAATATCTTAAGGGTGGGGGGGTGACCGGGTGGGCAAGGGAGGGGGGCAAAAGAGGAGCTGATATTAAAGGGCTCAAGAAGAAAGATAATGTTTAGAAATTGTTGATGCCAACAATTGCACATGTCTGCTTGATATAATGGCTGGCTGGATTGTTATAAGAGCCCCCAGTAAAATGATGTATTAAATTTTAAAAATTTACATTAAAAAAAGACTCTTGCTGGATGTTTTGACTTGTGGAGAGCCCATGTCACAGCAGAACTCCTGCATAGGGTTTTCTAGGGTGTCATCTTTAGGAGGAGCAGGTCTTTCTCTGGAAGAGACACAGGGTGGACTTGAATTGCCAACCTTTCAGTTAGCATCCACATGCTGCCAGGACTCCTTCTGTATTAGTCTGGGTACTTTGGAGAAACAAATCCACGGCGACTCACGTATAAGAGAGAGTTTTATGTAAAGAAAATGTGCATCACAAAAACATCCCAACCCAATGCTGCCCAAGCCCACAAGTCCAACATTAACCCATTAACCCAACACCAGTCCACAATGTCCTCCACCTCACAAAACAGAGGCAATGATGCCAACTGCAGGAGGAAAGCTGAGTCCGTGAACGTGCAAGCATCTCAGCACTGGCAAGGGTCTCCACACGGCTGCTCCAGCACCCAGGGCTGCATCGGGATAGATCCATGCGGCTTCTCCTTGGGGATGTCTTGTAGGAAGTTCATCTTGCAAGCTGAAGCAGGGAATTGCTAAAGCAGCTGCACCCGATGCAACCATCACAAAACAAGAGACCCGAGAACTAGAAAGGCGAGGCTTCACCACCCATTTATCCCTCCGCCTTTCAACCAGCACCACATGTGATTATCGGCCAGGCTGGCACAATTAACTAACTCACCTTCTGTAAAATGACAGCCAAGAAAACCCCATGGAGTGGTTGTACTCTGTCCATCACACCTGGAGCCACCACGCCCCAGGTTTGGCTGGAGGACAATGGGTGCAGGGCCTTTGGCTTGTTTTTTGTAGTAGTGCTAGAGAGGGGAGACTGGAAGCCCTCCACTTGCTCACTCGGCACTGTCTGACCCCTTACACACCTTTACCCATGTCCCTCACAGCATTTACCCATGTCCAGGGCAGGTTTTGTCTCCTCACACTGGTAGGTGTCCTGTCATCACAGCGAACTGCCCAGCCCCCAGGTGTAAAAAGAGGAGATATATTGGAGAAACCTTAAGGATGGTCTCCCCAGACCCACTAGTTGACAGGGCCATGAAGGCAGCAGAAATCGTAGGTCAGGTGGGCATCACCCTTGGCATTCCCACTGATGCCCAGGGTATTATTAGCAGGTTCAGCACTGAAAGTACTCTGCCCATTGACATTTTCAAACTTGACAATACCGCCCCCTGGAGGGAAATGCAGAGCCAGTGCAGGGCCAATGAGGGAGTCTGCAAAAGCAGATACCTATACTTTATCCTCGGTCATGGGCTAATGTACAAATGTTTTTAATTGCCAGGGGTACTGAAAAAAAAATTTTTTTTCCTGAAAAGGGGGCATTGAGAACCTAGGCATCAGAAGAAGAATGGCAGTGTTGGATTGCCAAACATGTAAGGTAGCATGGCTGAATTGTGCTTACTCACGATCCAGTGGTGAACACTGTTCCATGTTTTTCACCACATCAAAAGATGGTCTGCCTGGCATCTCCACCCACCGCCACCCCACTCCCAGCACGTCCCTACAGAATCAAGGCCTCTTTTCCAATTTACAGTCCGGGACAGGGCCATCATTAAGCATGGATGAGCGTGGGCTGACCTGGGCTTACTCATTCATCTGTGGTGAACAGTTTCACCCGGTTTCCACCACGTCTCTGATGTGGTGGAAAATCTACAGCATTGAAAGGAGCCGAATGGTTGAGTAAGGAAAGCGACCTTCTTCCAGAAGACGAAGACCCCAAGGGGAAGCCAGCCCAGAGACTGGGGTTGCTCTGCACGGGAAAGCCTCCATGGAGACTGCTCGGCCAGCAGCCCTTGTTTCCCAGTTGATGTGATGTACGTCGCTCAAGCTTCAGCTGGGCTTGATGTGGTGCAGTGATATTTCTTTCTTTTCCCCCCCAGGTTTAACATTTTTTATTTGCATATTTTAAAAATTGTGCATTCCAATAATGAAAATCATTGAAACAAAAACATGACACTCCGATTCAACTGCATTTTACGCCTGCAGGATGCCTTGGCCCAGCTTTGCTTTCTCTGTATGTGTGTTCCCTGTCCCCCCACCTGGCTGCTGCCTGCACCAACAGGCAAGTTCTTTCCCTTCCCTGCTGGCCAGACAGGCCGATGGGAGCGGCAGGCGCGCCGCCTTCGCTCTGGGCTGCACCTTCATCTCAATGAGATCCAACCCCTTCGCGGTACAAAGCTACCCAGCTAGAAGAGGGCAATCAGAAGGCAGTGCTCAGGGATGTACAGCGCGTTTTGGCGGCGCCGCCTCAGGACAACTCGCCTGCTTCTCTGGTTCGATCGTTTCTTTCGAAGGCAGTGGGTTTTTCTCTTGCGCTCTGTCTTATTCCATGTCGACTTCTCAGATCTCTCAATCTCAGCCTTACCGGGTCTGTCAGACACGGTTGCCGAGGGATCGAGAGAGCTGCCAGAGGAGTAGAATCTGTGTGCGCCGTGGCCACTGCTGAGTCCGAAATTTCTTTCTTTTTTTAAAGATCATTTTATTGGGACTCTTACAGCTCTTATAACAATCCAGTCATGAATTGTGTCAAGCACATTTGCACATACCTTGCCATCATCATTTTCAAAACATTTTCTTTCCACTTGAGCCCTTGGTATCAGCTCCTCATTTTTACCCTCCCACCCTCGTGACCCCTTGTTAAATTATAAATTATTATTATTTTCATATCTGACACCGTCTGTTGTCTCCTTTCACCACAGTTCTGTTGTTCATCCCCTTGTGGGTGGTGGTGGTGGTGGTGAAATTTCTTTCTTTTTTTTTTTTTTGTAAAGGGGAGGAAAATAGATAAAAAGTACAAAGCCAAAATCAACCCAGTACACCCATCTACATGGAAGCTGATGGAAAATTGGACGTAGGAAAATTGTCCAGGTCCTGGAGAATGTTATAGGAAAGGCAAGTGGCAGCTGCAGATCCTTTGCTGATCGGCGCTGTCAGTCTTTCCATGTTGCTCTTGCATGCAGTTTGAGATCAGATGGGCACACGAGCCTCACATCTTGGGAACATGCTCAAATTTCTTAATATGGTTCTTCTACCAAACCATTGGGTGGGACTCATCAAACAGGGCGTGTATAACACGAAGAGAGGGGATTGGTCGGTTTTGGTTACCACCCCCTGGCTATAAGGAAGAGTCATCTTTGAAGCAGAAGTAGAGAAATCCTGGGACTGTTTTTAGAAGAGCACATCCCTGCGGTGGCAGAGGCCACCAAGACCAGACGTATCGGGGATTGTGACACGGAGACTCAGAAGAGCAGGGCCAAGACTAGGGGTACCTTCTCCTCATCTTGGCCGGAGACTGGAACTGTGGGACAGAGGGACAGGTGGGCTGGCTTCCTGGCCCATGGAGGCAAAGGCCAAGGGACCACATAGCTGAGCGACTGAAGACCTGAGAGTTGCTACCATGTGGCTGGAGGCTAAGAACCGGAGAGAGAAAGAGACTTGGCTGCTGACTGAGGGGACCAATGACTGTATCCTGATGTTTGCAGATCCTGATCGATATTAACCTATGGACTTCCCCAACAAACCCCTTTAACCATGAGTGTGGTCTGTGAGTTCTGTGTGGTCTTTGCAGTGACTTCTCGAACCCAGTATAGATGCAGAGTGTCATTGGTGTCAGATTAAGGTAAAGAAGGATGGACGATGGAGGCGTGTTTGACCTCAGCCTCGTGGCACTTGGGAAGCCAGAGGAGGTCAGATACGGCCGCCTCCATGCCATTGGTTGCAGGTCAAGGCAGAGCCCCATTGTATGTTTTAGGCTGAGCCTTCAACACTGCAGACCTGGTGGTAGCTGTTGGCAGTGAAGCCAGTTTTACATTCCATCACTTTCTGTTCCATGACAGATCGTCTTCCGGTGGTGGAAGATCTCCCTGAGGAGTGAGTACCGAGCAGCTAAGCCCGGAGAAGTCAGAGAAACTCACGAGGACTTCCTGGAGAACTCCCATCTCCAAGGCAAGGACGGGACGTGTCCCGATGTCATGCTCACTGGTTCAGGCCTTTAATCAGTGAGGCCAGAGGAGTCCCAAACATGCCGTCTTGCCAAGCATTGATATGGAATCCTGTATTAGAAACAGTAGAACACTGCCTTCTTAGGAAAACAGAAACCATTAGCATGTCCTGAGATTTCCCTTTGGGAGGTATTTTGACGTGTTTAGGATTTCCAGTCAACATGTGTGTTGGAATTAAACCTATGAAGGTTAAATCTTGTAAATATAATTTCATTCAAAGGGGTCTCTTTTAGTCTAGAAACTAATGGGGAAAAAAAACATTTGAAAATATAGCCAAAGGAACAAACCTTTGAATTAATTTAAAAGGGACACCTCTCTATTTCTTTGAATATCAAGGCTTGCTTCAGAAGTAGTGTTAAATTACCTAGCATTTTGGTAGTATAGTGGTCACCTGCAAGGTCAGCAGTTCGAAACCAGCAGCAGCTCTGTGGGAAAAAGACAGGGCTTTCTTCTCATAGAGAGTTACAGTCTTGGAAATGGACAGAGACAGGTCTATTCTGTTTATAGGTAACCATGAAGTGGCATTGACTTGATTACAGTAGGAGTTTTTGCTTTTTGTTTGCGACTTAATAATAGAAATGTTCTTCTAATTTACCCCTTTGCTTCTTATCCCCTTCTTCATATGAAAACCCATACCAATATAAGGAAGCAGGGCGATTTAACAAGCTCCCATGTCCCATAACCCCGCTTGAGCATTCAGCAACCCCAGCTCCGAGTTGCCATGCGATTATTTTGAGACAAATCTGGATAATTCCCCCACTTTGTCTTCAATGACTTCAGAGGTGTCTTCTTTGAACATAATCACAGTTACTCCAGGAACCCTAAACTCTGCAGTAATAAAGCCTTCATGATAAGATTTTATAACCAGAAGTCACCTAGAGATTCTTATTTTATTAGCAGCAGTTAGTAGTTATTAATAATAGCAAGTGCTTTCACCCACATATTCTCCTTTGACTGTCACAGTAGCCTAGTGACGTCAATATCAGCATCTTGGCTTCCTGAGTAAAATTTGGAGAACTAACCATGGAAATCAAGTCTATTTCACATCACTTTAAAAAGAGGCAGACTCTGGGTGGGATCCTTGATAACCAGCATCCTTAGGAACACGTCTCTTATTTAACCTTACGACATGCAATAGCTGGGCTTCTCAGGGAAGAAGGCTTGGTTCTGTTGTGCTTTCCCTTAAATAGTTAACAGTCTGGATTGATTACAGTGGTGGAATAATCTGGAAAAGGTAGCGGACACCATGAAGAGCAAACACGCTGAAGTATCCCCGAGGAAATGGTTGGGATGGCGCAGGGTTGATTGCACGTATTTTCAACCCAGTGAAAAAAATTCAGGATTCCTGACAATGCCCACCTCATCTTTCTTTCCCTCCTTCACATTGTTGCTAGGGGCCGTCGGGTTGACTCTTAGGGACTCTCTGCACAACAGAGTGAAACACTTCCCAGTCCTGCACCAGCCTCCCAATTGCATCTATGAGTGAGCCCACTCCTGGATAACAAGTATTTCGTAAAGACTCATTCTTGGCCTTAAAAAGAACCATTCTGGGGAAAAGACTGTCTATTTTTAACTAAATAAAATGCACTCCAGGCAAGCCCTGTTCATTTAACCGTGGAAATGGGCCTATTTCCACACAGATCATCGTAGATAGCTATCTACAAAGCACATCCAATATTGGAGTTATGATCCATTTTCTTTTCTAATCATGGTTCTAACTGCCCCAGAAGCCTTAGTCTAGCAGGTGCTATTAACTGACAGACCGTGCGCTTTTCTGGCCAACTTCCACAGAAGCCTGAGGGAGAGGGGTGCTTGGGCCAGAGAGAATAGGAACTGAAGACCACTGATGGTCCTCCAGGGTGGGTCTTAAGAGACAACCTCCGAGGGCGCTCTAGATGCAGGAAGACCTTGGTGATATTGGGAGTTCAGTCCCAAACCACCGCAATATGCCTCTGTTGTTGTTAGGTGCAATCCAGTTGGTTCTGATTCATAGTGGCCCAATGTCCAACAGCCGAACTAAACCCCGCCGGTCCTGCCCCATCCTCACCCTTGCTCCTGGGCTTGAGCCCATTGTTGCAGCCATTGTGCCAATCCATCTTGTCCTGGGCCTTCCTCTCTATCCTTGACCCTACTCCAGAGACTGGCCTCTCCTGATAACATGTCCACAGTAACTGAGACCAGATCTTCCTATCCTCCCCCCTTTTAAAAAAAATCATTTTATTGGGGCTCATACAACTCTTATCACAATCCATACACACGTCATTTGTGTAAAGCACACTTGTACATTCGTCGCCCTCATCATTCTCAAAACATTTGCTTTCCGCTTGGGCTCTTGGAATCAGCTCATTTTTCTTTTTCTCCCCTCCCTCCCTGCTCCCCGCCCCCTCACGAACCCTTGATAATTTATAATGCTCCTTTTAAGGAGCATTCGGGCTGTGCGTTTTCCAGACAGATGTTCTCCTGGCAGTCCATGGTCCTTTCAGTGTTCTTTGCCAGCACCATCATTCAGTTGCCCCGGTTCTTCTTCGGCCCTCCCGATTCAATGGCCAACATGCACACGAGGTGACTGAAAACACGGTGTCTTGGGTCAGGACCACCTGAGCCCTCCAAGGGACTCCCTTGCTTTTCAACACTCTAGTATAGCAGTCAGGCGGTCCTGGGAATTATTTTGTTTTAGGCAGCAGCTGAGCGCTTAGCCGCTGAGTCACCGGGGCATCTCCATCGTTTGATACTTGGCTCCAAACACACAAATATGCAAGTTCTCCCATGTCTCAGTGTCCAGTCACCTCCACTGTGAGAATGCAAACATTAGCAGCATCTGCCTCCCAGGGCTCCCAGGCGGGAGGAACTGAACGAAGCACTTGGCACTGTGTGGGACACAAAAGAAGTACTACTCCCTGAATTCAAGCCATCCCAGCTTTTAAAACTTACAAAGTAGAGATCCCCTCCTTCGTTACTCCTGGCTTCCTTCCCAGAGACAACCTCCATAAGTAGTTCCAGTTGCATTTGAACTACTGGTTTTGTCTGGGTGCTGTTTGGTCTGTTGACAAACACAGCATCAGATGTCTCCTTTAGTCCTCTCACTTGGTTTCACACGTCATAGACTGTGCACTGGTTGTTGTGAGGACGCAGTGGAGCCCTGGTAGTGTGGTGGCTAAAGAGCTCATTTGCTCACCTAAGGTTGGCAGTTCAAACCCACCAGGTGCTCTGAGGACAAAAGGTTTGGTAGTCGGCTTTTATAAAACTGTACAGCCTTGGAAAGCTCACAACCCCGATCCACCTCAGCGCCATCCAGTCAATTCTGACTCCGAGTGACCCGCTGTCCTTGTGGGGTCCCAAGGCTGGAACTTGCCAGGATTTGAAAGCCTCATTTTCTCCTGAGTGCAGGCTGGTTTTGAACTGCTGACCTCGTTGTTAGCAGCGCAACAAGTAGCCACTTCCTTTGGAAGCCCCGTCAGGCAGGTCTCTTCTATCCCACAGGGCTGAGGAACCAGATTGGACTTGATGGCAATGGATTCTGTCTTAGGGGCTGAGGCTTGGGATATATGAAGAAGGACCCCCTTATTTTTAAAGAATATATGCGAATCCACCAGCCCCTTCATGGGAGAAAGACAAGGCTTTATAATCCTGTCAGCGGTTCCAGTCCCGGAAACTCACAGGGGCAGTCCGACCCTGTCCTAGGGGTGCTGTACATCAGCATGGACTCGATGGCAGTGAGTTTGGTTTGACTTTTTAACTGATGGGTAGTTGTTCTTTCTTTTTTCTTGTTTTGTTGTTGTTATTGTGAATTAGGTGAAGGTTTATAGAGCAGATCATCAGCTTTACCTCCAACAATTCATACCTATTTTGTCTAGACTCGTCCATTGCCATCTGTCAACGCCCTAGTGCTTCCCCCACTCCTTCCGCTGATTCCTGTTTCCACCCCCCTTCTCTCCTAACCCTCTGGACTTTGCCCTCGGGTCAGTCTGCCCTTTGGATCGGCTGGCTGGCTATTCTAACAAGGGGATGAGTTCAGTTCCAGGGCTGAAGGGTGGCTAAGAGTTTCCATGTATCTTTCCACTTTGAAACGACGGGTATTTTCACATCATTGCTTGCTGTTCTTACGAAACATTAGGTGTGTTCTGGGACGTACTTATCTTTGCTCCCTTTGTGAGAATGTCACTAGTTTAAATGTGGCAGTGCCAGGTATAAAGATAGGCGTGTCACATACACTGATAGCTGCTCTGAATTTTACTTGACAGGGGAATGCTTGCAAACCTTGTGCATTTGGGGGCAAATCTGAGAAAGGATGCCAAGTATTTCTGTTAACCACCTAGAGCCGCCTGGCCATGGCAGGCCGGGTGGATGCCGTTTATAACACATGTGACCTTTATGATTGTGCCATCATTGTAACTGGGCCATTGGTCACTGAGGCAACGTGGTGACAGCCGGGAAGGGTCAGCCAAATTGAGCATCACTCTTGAGGTGGGGGCTGGGGATGGAAGGAATGCCTTCCCAGTTTGTGCCCTAAAATTGCTATCGGAACTTCCAGGGGACTTCGCGTGATAACCTTGTTGGTTTCTTTGAATTGCAGTTCAAGTTGCCTTAGTTTTCGGGGAAAGAATAATAGAGTATGTCCTCAATTTGTGCCAAGGTAAAGTCGACTTCCTTGAGCGGCTCTCGGACAACTTGCTCCTGAGCATCATGTCCTACCTGGACCTCGAAGACATCTGCAGGCTGTCACAGACCTCTCGGAAATTCGCCAAGGTAACGGGCCCGACGCTTGCCCCTCGGAAGCATTTCCCATCAGCTTTTTCTTTTTCTTTTTTTCTTTTCTAAACATTTCTTTTCTGTTTGAACCCTTGGTCTCAGCTCCTCTTTTTTCCCTCCCTCCATCAGCTTTTTCAAAGTTGTTTTAGTGTTTGCGTTGGTTTCAGCAATCGTTTGGGCAGCCCTAGGCACCCGGCACCGCCAGGGTCAAGAAGCCCCAGAGAGGAAAGACATTATCCCTTCCCTCAAGGAGCTTACAGTGGGAAAAGAGACTCCAAGGTGAAATACAATTACATTCAAAAGAGACACACGCACAAGTTACATATACTTTCTCCCAAAACCAAACTCAAACACACTGCCATCAAGTCGATTTTGACTCTTAGCAACTCTACCCCAAGCTGTTTCATCCATGTCCCAGTCCCCTGTTTTGTTTCTTATTTAGAATTGAAATATATATATATATTATGAGATATATATATATATGAGATATATTATATAGATAGATAGATAGATAGATAGATAGATAGATAGATAGATCCCCGATTAATCCACCACTTAGCTGTCAGTTTGTCATACGGTGGTGGCTTGTGTGATACTATGATGCTTGAAGCGATGTCACTCGTATTTCAAATACCAGCAGGGTCACTCAAGGTCAACAGGCTTCAGTGGCACCCCTGCTAAGAATAGACTGCTCAGAAGGGCTAGACCGTTCACGTCTGAGGGAGTAGCCGCGGAAAACCTTCTGAGGAGCAGTGGAGCACTGTCAGAGACAGTGCCAGAAAATGGGTCTCTCAGGTGGGAAGACACTCACAATACGACAGGAAGAGCTGCCTTCTCAAAGTAGAGTTGATTTTAATGATGTGGAAGGAATAAAACGTTTGTGACCTGCGTTGGTGGTGGGGCATGACTCAAAATGAGAAGAAACAACCGCAGACATCTACTAATAATTGGAATATGTTTGAGAATGACGAGGGCAATGAATGTACAAATGTGCGTTATACAATTGATGTGTGTATGGCTCGTGATAAGAGTTGTATGAGCCCCCAATAAAATGATTTAAAAAAATAATAATTGGAATATGGACAGTACAAAGTGTGAATTAAGGAAAGTTGACAGTCCTCAGAACTGAAATGGACCTACGTCCTAAAGATGGATAACCCTAGGCCCTAGCAAGCTGAAATGGGCTGGATTTGGCTTTTTGAATCAGACAGTCATAGGACTTAGGAGGCTGGGAATGACAGAGACTAGAGGAATTCTTGATCAAAAAGGAAACTTCATGATTTATTGGAGTACAGTGCTCTCTGTGACAGGATAATATCTCCACACCTACAATAAAATTCAATTAATACAACTATTAAATTTACATACCAACCACTAAAACTAGTGATGAAGAAACTGAAGAATTCTACCAGTGCCTTCAGTCTGAAACTGATCAATGCACTAAGATGCATTGATAATTATTGGTGATTGGAATACAAAAGTTGGAAACAAAGAGGCTGGAACAGTAATTGGAAAATAGTCTGGTGATAGAAATGAAGTGGGAGGTCACATGATAGAATGACTTCTTCGTTGCAAATACCATTTTTTAGGAACACAAACGTCAACCATACATGTAGACTTTTCCAGATGGAACACACAGAAACAAAATTGCCTACATCTGTGGGAAGAGACAATGGAGAAGCTTAATATCAGCAGCTCAAACTAGGCGAGGGGCTGACTGTTGAACCGCCCATCAATTGCGCATATGTAAATTCAGGCTGAAGTTGAAGAAAATTAAAACAAGTCCACAAGAGCCAAAATATGACTTTGAGTGTCTATTCCACCTGAACTTTGAGAACATTTCAAGAACATATTTGATGTGTTGAACATTAATGACAGAAGACCTGATGAGCAAGGACACCATACGTGAAGAAAGCAAAAGGTTATTAAAAAGCCCATAAAGAAAGAAGAGATCCTGCATGTCTATCTAGATAAGATAGACAGGATAAACAATCTAGAGGAGAAAACAACGGGACCGAGGATTCCGGGGGGTGGGAAATAGGAGACGGGGAGGCGGGGGAAAGGAAGTGGGTATTAACAAACCCAGGGACAAGGGGACAACAAGTGACCGAAAATTGATGGCAGGAGGGTGTAGGAGGCCTGGTAGGGCTTGATCAAGGGCAGTGTAACCGAGAGGAATTACTGAAACCCAAATGAAAGCTGAATGATAGTGGGACAAGAGGAAAGTACAAGGAAATAGAGGAAAGAACTAGGAGGCAAAGAGCTTTTATAGAGGTCTAAATACAGGCATGTACATGTGTAAATATATTTATACATAAAGATGGGAAATACATCTATGTGCATATATTTATAGGTTTATTATTAAGGAAGCAGATGTACATTGGGCCTCTACTCAAGTACTCCCTCAACACAAGAACACTTTGTTCTAATAATCTGGCATTCTGAGATGCTCACCTTCCCAACACAATCGCTGAAGACAAATGGGTGCATAAGCAAATGTGAAGAAAGATGATGGTGCCTGACTATCAAAAGATATAGCATCTTAAAGGCTTGAAGATAAACAAGTGAACACATGAAAGAAGCACACCAGCCTGTGTGATCATGAGGTGTCGATCGGATCAGGTATCAGGCATCAAACACCCAGAACAAAAAAATCATGTCAATGTGAATGGGGGTGGCGGAAGGAATGCGGAGTGGAGGCCCAAAGCCAGTCTGTAGGCAATTGGACATCCCCTTACAGAAGGGTTGCGGAGAGAAGACAGGCCAGTCGGTGTAGTATAGCACTGATGAAACATACAGCTTTCCTCTAGTTCTTTAATGGTTCTTCACCACCACTATCATAACCCTAATTCTACCTTACAAATCTGGCTAGACCAGAGCATGTACATGCGTACAGATAAGAGCTGGAAACACAGGGAATATAGGAAAGATAAACTCGGCAGGACCAATATTGAGAGTAGCCATACCAAGAGGGGAAGCGGAAGGTGGTAGGGAGAAAGGGGTCACTGATCACAAGGACCTACCTATAACCCGCTTCCAGGGTGATGGACAGCAGATAAAGGGGTAAAGGGAGACATCGGACAGTGCAAGACATAGAAAAATAATAATAATTTATAAATTATCAAGGGTTCATGAGGGAGGGAGGAGGAGAGGGGGTGGAATGAGGAACTGATACCAAGGGCTCAAGTAGAGGGAAAATGTTTTGAGAATGATGATGGCAACAAAGGTATAAATGTGCTTGACACAATGGATGGGTGTATGGATTGTGATTACTTGTACAAGCCCCCAATAAAATGATTTTTTTTAAAAAGGAGATCAAAACGGATGTGAAGCAGAGACTCTCAAACTTGCTCTTCATTATGGAGAAGCTGAAACAGATGAAAGAAACGGTGAATGAAAGAGCGGAACAGGCCATTTCAAAGGGTCACCTTGAGAAGACAAAGGAAGGTATTGAAATGAGATATACGAAGACCTGGAGTTAGAAAACCAAAAAGGAAGCTCACCTCGGCATAGCGTAAGCTGAAAGAACCGAAGAAAGGGTTCCAGACTCGAGTTGTAATATGGAAAGATTCTGTGGGCAAAATATTGACTGATGCAGAAAACATCAAAAGAACATGGAAAGAAAATACAGTCGCTGTACCAAATTAACTAGTTGGCATCCCACCATTTCAAGAGGTAGCCTATGAACAAGAGCCAGTGGTACTGAAGGAAGAAGTCCAAGCTGCACTGAAAGCATTAGTCCACAACAAGGCTTCAGGCATTGAGAGGCTATGCATTAAAATGTTTCAACAAGCTGATGAAGAATTAGAAGCACTCTCTTGTCTATGCCAGAAACTTGGAAGATAGCTACCTGGTCAACTGATTGGAAGAGACCCACATCTGGACCCATTCCAAAGAAAATTGACACAAGATAATGAATGCTCAAATTATAGAACAATATCATTGATAGCACATGCAAGTACAATTTTGCTAAAGATAATTCAACAACAGTGGTAGGACATGGAACAAGGGATATCATTGCTGAAATCAGAGCAACAACATCAGGAAAATGTTGACTTGTGTTTTATTGACTATGCAAGGCCATTCGACTGTGTGGCTTGTAAGGAATCCTGAATAGCTTTGAGGAGACTGGGAATTTCAGAGCACTTCGCTGTGCTCATGCAGAGCCTGGGCCTGGATCAAAAGGAGTGTGTGAACACAACAAGGAAATACTACATGGGTTAAAATCAGGAACTGCGTGCATCCGGGTTGTGTCCTCTCATCATAATTATTCAACCAGTGGGCTGGGCAAATCATCAGAGAAGCTGGATTCGATGAAGAATGCGGCATCAGGATTGGAGGCCAGCTTATCCACCACCTGCGATATGTAGGTGAACACAACCTTGCTTGCTGAAAGCAAGGAGGACTGAAACACTCGCTTGATGAAGACCAGGGATTGCAGCCTTCAGTGTGGATGACAGCTTCATGTAAAGAAGACCACAGTCCTCACAGCTGGATCAATAAATAACATCATGAGAAATGGAGGGGGAAAAGAGCGAAGTTGCCAAAGATTTCGTTTTAATTGGATCGATGGGTCCAATAGGTCCATGATGCTCATGGAGGCAGCATCAAGACCCAAAGGTCTCATCCCATTGGGTGAACATGCTGCACAAGACTTGTTTAAAGACCCGGCGAGCAAGGACGTCCCTGTGAGCACGAAGGCAAGCCTGGCCTACGCCATGGTATTTTAAACCGCCTTGCATGCACTTGAAAGTTGGACACAGAATACGGAAGACACAAGAACGGATGCATTTGCATGGCGGTGCCGGGGAAGAAGGCTGAAAGTACCACAGACCGCCAAAAGAACACACAGGTCTGTCTGGGAAGAAGTACAGCCAGAACGTTCCTTAGAAGTAACGAGAGCAGGATGTCACCTCTCATCCTTTGGACATGTGATCAGGAAAGACCAGTCCCTGGGAAAGGACATCACGTTGGTAAAGTCAAGGGCCAGAGAAAAGAGGTAGACCAGCAGTTCTCAACCTGTGGGTTGTGACCCCTTTGGGGGTCAAACAACCCTTTCCCGGGGGTGGCCCGATTCATAACAGTAGCAAAATGACAGTGATGAAGTAGCAGTGAAAATAATTTTATGGTTGGGGGTCACCGTAACATGAAGAACTGTATGAAAGGGTCATGACATTAGGAAGGTGGAGCACCACGGAGGCAGACCCTCTCGGAAATGGATGGCACAGTGGTTTCCACAGTGCGCTCAACAACCACTCTGCAGGCCTGAGCAGTGTTTGGCTACGTTGTACATGGGGTGACTTCAGAACCTACATGACGGCACCCAACCACAGCGCCCCTTTATGAATGACAAAAAGCTTCCATCAAACTCCTTGGGAGACATTTATGATGACTACATCTGTGTCCAAGTCCATGTGATCTTAAGGATGGAGGTGTTCCTCCCCTGTCCAAGGCCAGGGCCACCTGGCTCCCGGACCTCCTCCTGGTGACGCCAGGCTATCAGCCATCTCCTTTTCCGCCTGTTGTTGTTTTAAAATAATTTTACATTACAGAGGACTTGCAGAGATAGTATCAAGAGTTTACAAAACCCCTTGACCCAAATTCCCCTAATACTTATGTAACCAGGACACCTTGACTAGAACCAAGCACCAATGTTGACACAATCCTGTGCACGGTTCACCAGCTTTTTCTAATGTCCTTTTGCTGGTGCAGGACCCAATCAAGGATCTTGGTGTGGTGGTGGGTGTTGAGCTGACCCAGGTGACAGAGAGCTGCCCCACAAACTGCTAGGCTGGCAGGTGCATGAAAGCAGATATGCTGCTGTCTCTTCTCTTGTATCTGGTGACTTTGAACCATCAACGTTTCAGTCAGCAGCTGAGAGCCCCACCAACGCTCCATCAATCCAGTTCAACAGGACATAGTTAGTTCTGATTTCCAGTCTCTCTATTGGTTCATTCTTCCAAGTAAACCCCCTTGCCCCCAATCACTTTTATACTTCAAATAAAAACCCTTGACTCTGCTTTTATCCAACTTCTCTCCTCCTTTTGGGGGGAGAAGAAAGACCATTATTTATACCTGCAAACTCAATGCAATCCAGTCCATAATACCTATAGAGCAGAGTAGAACGGCCTGTGTGGGCTTCCAAGATTGTAACTTTTGACTGGAGTAGGAAGCCAGGTCTCTCCTATGAGGTGGCTGGTGGTTTTGAACCGCCAACCCTGTGGTTTGCAGCTCAGCCCATAATCACCAGGCCACCAGGGCTCGTTTTATCCCAGTAGTTTAGTCAAACTCCTCACCAGTCAGGGCCGCGGGGAAGGGAAGGAAGGTGTGCAGTTTTTCAGAGTGCAGTGGGTTTTGCTTAGGTGACCGGTGTCCTTGGAGGTCCCCAGACACTCCCCCAGAGGTGATCCCTGGTCCCGACGCCGCAGGCAGGGCCTCCGAGACGGGACAGCTTGACAAGAGCAACCTGCCACTTGTTTTCTCAGAGTGGCCTGCAGTGAGCAGCCTAGCATGTAATTCACAGCGCTACCAGGGCGCCTGTGTTGAAAGTCAGGTCTTTCCAATCTGGGGCAAGCGAAGAAAGCTGCCTCCTCTTCCCTATGGGCACTTGATGTGGTGTATTTAAAGCAGCACGAGGCAGGAACACTGGGTTCTAGTCCTGGCTCAGCCTTGGGCAGCACCTCCTCCCTCCTTGAATCTTAGCCCCTTCTTTTGTGAAAAGACAGGTTTTAACTAGACAAACCAACCCAAACTCACATGCCGACTCATGGCGATCCTGTAGGACAGGGTAGGACTGCTCCTGTGGGTTTTAAGATGAGACTGTAACTCTTTCCCAGAGTAGTTTAGAACTGCAGACGTCACTAGTTAGCAGCCCTTGGGTTACATAAACACTGAAATCCTCTCAACTTTTCATGAGCCCTTAGGGATGTTACATGCGCGTGCCACCACCAGAGGGCGCCAAATGCACGCTTAAAAGGGCTTTGGTCCAAGGCACTGGTACCTTAATTTAATGAGTACTACCCAGAGAGTCCTTTGGTGGTCTCAGGTGGATAGTATTTTGCACATCAACTGAAGAGTACTTTTCTGTAAATACTTTCAGTGTAAAATGTTTATATTGCAGAAATGCAGTTACTAAGAAACAGGCTCCCTGCTGTTGAATTGATCCTCATTCTAGTTCTCCACGGTCACATGGCCTGTCAAAGTAAAGCACGCAGGCTGCTTTGTGTTCCGCAGTGGGCCTGAAGGGATAGCGAGAAGGCTCGCGTGTTTGTTTGTGTCTCTCCCTGTCCAGGAAGAAGTTAAGATACACAGCAGCAGAGCAGGGCAGCGCCAAGGGTGGACCAGGAGTGGTATGAGTAGGGATGCTAGAAAAGAGTTAAAAAAAAAAACAACCAACCCAAACATTCCATAAAATTGATGTTGTGATAGACTAGGTTCGAAGCTGTGTCTTGGGATCGAACCCCTCCACCCCCACTCCAAACTCCCTCGCTGTGATGCAGTAACACATGCCTTCTCACCGATAGTTCCTATTCCATGTAGGCCAATGGGAGGCTCGTTTCTGCCATATTGGAGCTGCCCTACTCGACCCACAGGGCCACCATAGCACCGTGGCAGGGACAAGAGCCCGGCCATACTAGCTAGCCTTTATGTTACTTCTACTCCCACCAGGGCTCCTCCCCTGACTCCTAGGAACAAGGAATTGTGGGAGAATAAGGTGGCACGTTAGCCAGACACCGCACGGTTTCTGTCACAGACTAGGCAGTGCTTGTCTCTGACTTCCCAGATCTGAAGGTGGCCCGCAGTAATAGATTCTGCCGGCTCACACCCAGCAGCCTGCTCCCATTACAGTTCCACTTCGAAGATGGGCCTTTCGTTCCTTCACAGCTACTCCTTCCCACATTTCCAGAGCCCCCATGTTTGGAACATGTACCTGACATGATAAACAAAACAAACGACCCTTAGAACGGAAGGCAGTGTTTTATAAGTCTAAAAATATATTACGTTTTTCAAGTCCCCCCTGCCCCCTCCCTTCCACAAGGGGCTGTTTTCTTAACCTATATTTGCTTTTCTAGAGTCTCCTTTCTTGTTTAAAATGGTCTACTGTCCATTCACCTACTGCCACCGAGGCCTTGCTCATTCACAGCGACTCTCTGTCAGAGTAGAAAGCCCAGTCTCCCTCCTACAGGGCTGCTGGTGGTTTTGAACTGCCCACCATGCAGATAACAGCCCAACTTGTCCCCATGACACCACCAGGGCTCTATTGCGAAATGGGCTTGCACACAATGAACAAGCTTCCAGCGTTGGAAGTCTGAGTCCACCAGTAGGTGGCAGTCGACTTCCAAAAATTTAGGCATTGAAAATCCCACGGAGGACCTTCCTGCTCTCATTCCCAGGGGAGCGCCTTCAGTCAGAATCCACCCCATACAATGATTTGTCCCCGCCCCCTCCCCTTTTCCAAAAGTCTCTGGCTCCCCTCCTCTTTTCTCAATGGTGCTATGGCTTCTTATTGGCCTCAGAGTTAGAAGCAGTCCTGAAAAAAGTTGTCCCCCCACGGGTCCTATCAAGACCCTGCCTTCCCCTCCCAGTTGCTCAAAGTCTGTGTGTTTTAAGGGAGCGGCTTTCGCTCACTCCGCCCCTCCATCAGCCGTGTAACCCATCCCCACTCTCTCCACCCACAGCTGTGTGTGTGTGACCAACTGTGGGAGCAGATTGTCCAGTCTGCGTGTGACACCATCACCCCCGACATGCGGGCCCTGGCTGAGGACATTGGCTGGAAGCAGATGTTCTTCACCAACAAGCTGCAGCTCCAGCGTCAACTCCGCAAGAGGAAGCAGAAGTCCGAGAGCCATAAGCCAGCCGGCCTGCCATAGAGGCCGCGCCTGACCAGCGGGGAGTGGAGGCCCGGCGGCTTCTCCTCAGTGCCCACCTCTCTGCTGCTCCCTTTATCACAGACCCAGGAGCCTTGGCTGATCCGAGGAGTCACTCACAGCACTGGCTGTTCGAACACAACGGCAGCAAACCTCATCACCCCGTGCCTTGCTGGTGCCACCCTCCCTGCCATCAGTGAGGGTCACATCATGGTCCCTGAGCCCAAGGGCTGCAGTCCTGGGGAACCTCCAGGTCACGACTTGTCACCTCCCTCCTGAGACACCTGTAGGAAAAGAGCCTTCTGCTGGATAGGGACAATAAATGCTTGTTAGCATGTTGAACGATAGTTGTGTTTGGGTCTGGTCCTTGGGCTGGTGAGGGATGCCATCCCTAACCCCTCATGGAGGGGTCTCTTGAGTGTCCCTATGGGGGACTGGGAGGGACAGGACCCTCAGCCTGAGTGCGGTGGCCTTCCCAGCTTTGTCCTGCTACGTCTGCGGTCATGGCCCCCTCCACGGGGATTTGGGGTCCTTGGCTGCAGGCTCTCTCACACTGTGTGGACAGCCTCTGAGCTGGCCCAGGGTCACAGCTGGAGGGGAAGCCCAGGACCTCCCTGCAGATCTGGCCCAACGGAAAAACCCCAGATGAGAACTAGCTCGGTCACCCTTTTTCCACGGGCCGTGGCTTTCTAGGGCACCGACGACACTTTATCACGTGGGTTTGTAAGAGACGAGGGGGGCTTCCGGGGACTAGATGGTCTAAATTCCCAGATGGTCTTGGCAGGGAAATCAAGCCAGTCCAAACGGCAGGAGGCCATTGTACCCCACTGAGAAGGGCTACTTCCTTTGAATTTGTTCCCTCTTTGCCTGCTCTGTGAGGCTGAAGTCCTTCTGAGTCTGCCAACGAGATGCTTGCTGTCCAGGTGGCCGAGCCCCGGCTTTCTGCCACATAATCTTTGTCGCCAGATTGTTTTCCTCCCGCTTCCCTCACAAGGAAAAAATCCTTTACCCGCTACGGGAAAGCACTTCCGAGTGGGGCCCAGTGGTGGTCTCAGGATGGCCTTCTCATCTAAGCCCCCTGGGAGGGCTCCGAAGCCAGAGATCACGGACTAACACCCACCCTGGCCCCCCAAACCTGGGATGACAACCCGTCAGAATTCCGCCCCATCCACACACCCTTAAAACGTGGTCAGACCTTGCTAGGGGCATCTGACAGCAGAAGCATCTTCTTCCCACAAGAGGGGGTGCCAGTCACAGTCCTGTCAGGATGTAGTCCAAGCGCCTGGCAAAGACTAGGGGCTGGTGAGCCGCCCACTGCACTCCTGCTCAGACGGGGTCTCACAGGGCAGGCTTCGCCCCCAGACTCCCAGCGGCCGTTTCTAACTTCCTTCCAAGCTCGGTGTTGAGGGCCAGAGCATGGGTTAACACCACAAGAATTTGGTGGGGGGGGGACAGAAAGGGGTGAATATCTCCTTCTAACTCTTCTGCGACATCTCTGCAATGGGTCAACTGTTTTAAACTCTCCCTGGTTGTGTTATATCAACTACCTGAGGCTCTGACCCCTGAGAACACTCAGAATAATCTAGACGCACAATCTGACCAGAGACGTGCAGATAGGCCTACAGACATGTATGTTGCAAGTATTGGCGATGGAGGGTTGACCTCTGTGACCTCCTCTGGCTTCTGTAGTGCCGAGAGGCAGGGATCCCACAAGCCTTCAGGGTCCAGCCTCCTTACCATCCTGTCACCAACCGTTCCTCCCACAACACTCTTCAGCTGTGCCGTGTTCAATTATTTGTTGCAATGACTACACAGAACTCACACGCAATACTCAATTAAGGGGGCTAATTAGGGACGTTAATAAGTTACCACAAGTCCGGATCAGCAAACAGCCAGGTCACAGTCATTGGTCTTCTCAGCCAGCAGCCACGTCTCCGCTTCTCAGCCTCTCAGCCACGTGGTCCCTTGGCCTTTGCCTCCGTGGGCCAGGAAGCCAGCCCGCCTGTCCTTGGCCCCGTAGTTCCATGGGTCAGGAGAAGGTGCCCCACCCTCCGAGTGTCCGCCACAGCCGTGATCCATCTAGCCTCAGCGGCTGCCGCCATTGCAGACAGAGACCTGGAACGTGCTCTTCCCAGGCCCTCCGGTTTCTCTCTGCTGCTTCAAAGGGGGCTCATCTTGACAGCCGGGGGCGGGGGGCGGAGGGGGGGTGGTTGTCACAAAAGATGACCAATCCCCTCGTGGCTTACACACGCCCTAGGTGCATGATCCCACTCGGTCATTTGGGGGAGCTACTGAGACTAGGGTAAAAGAGCCATATTAAGGCTCACGGCACCACATATGTCTATACATGTGCCTTGATCACTCACTGACTGACTTGGGGTCACTGCTAAATCATAGTGAGCCCCTGGGGGTTTTCAACAGGGTTTGTAACTGTAGAGAGTAGGAAGCCCCGTCTTTGTCCCGCAGAGCTGCTGGTGGTTTTGAACTGCTGAACAAGCACATGGCAGCCCAACGCATAACCACACCACCAGTGCTCCAGATGTATCTATATAGCGATATATATTCATCTAGGAGAGCATGCACGTGCATATAATATATACATTGTATTGTAAAGCAGACCTGGTGTTAAATAATACATGAATTATTCATATAGTGACTATTGTTAAGTAACTATAGGTTGATGTACTGTAAACCCTTGTCCTAAATAACTTGAATGCCTTATTACTTGATCACTCTTTTTGCCAAAACAGAAGACAAATCAGTGACCTTTGAACCTTCTGTGGCCCCAGCATCCTTAGCGGTGGAGCATTTTTCGGGAAGCACTTCAGTGTTTGATCCTATGTGGTGATCCCTCTAAGGCTCACTGGATGCTCAAGCGCAGCGGGGACTCACCCCGCACTCCCTCTCTATTTGTAGCCTTCATGGGGGCGGATCCATCTGCTTTTGAGCATGACGTAGCATTTCAGAGTCAAATGCCTTTCTCTCTGAGTTTTCAACCGAAGTTGCTTCTACTGTGTTCTCACTCTCGGTGGCCACTGTCCAAGTGAATAGTGGCATTTTCAGGAAGAATCCCCAGGGCATGGTGTTTACACATCGGGCTGCTAACCTGAAGGTCAGCAGTTTGATACCCCCAGCTGCTCCGTGGGAGAAAGACGAAGCTTTCTACTCTTGTAAACAAGTGTTGCAGTCCCAGAAACCCCCTGGGGTCGTTGTACCCTGACCCACGGTGGCCTCACTGTGTCAGAAGCTACGCCATGGCAGTGAGGTGGTTTGACTACAAGAAAACCCAAATGTTTCAACTTTGAATCGTTGACCTGACCTTGAAGTGGATGTTTTGGTTAGATGTCAAAAACATCCTGTGAACCGCTGCCGCCACACTTAAAAAGCAAACCACACCCCTGCATCCAAAAAAGGTAACACAGAGGGCCAGGTCACATTGCAAAGCTCACATCATACTGTGTGTCTGAGACTAACTCCTGATGGGAGCCGAAAGCCTGGTCTTTTCTCTTCCTTACTCCTTACAGTCCTGTGGAATGGCACCCACCCTCTGGGACAGCATTGGTTGGCCCCACCCCACCCCACCCAGACTCACACCATAGAGCAACTCCCTCTCATCAGCTACCGCTTTTCATGAAAACAAACAATTCCTCACTCAGAAGAGCGATGTCTCATCGGGAAATTTGTTCTGTCCAATCAGAGGTCTTAGACTCATACATAGATCTATGGTCAGCACCTGTCCACACATTGCCAACAGCCTTCTAAATGATCATGATGAAAGTTTCCATTTCTCGCCTGCTAGCCCAAACCAAATGCACTGCCATCAGGTTCGCTCTGATAGAGCCACCCAGTAGGCGGAGTGGCACTGTGCCCACAAGGTTTCAAAGGAAGCAGATTGCCACATCTGTCGCTCACAGAGAGGCTAGTGCCAAGAAATACACAGGCAGCACCCGGTTTAATTCTTACAGTGACTCTTGAAGGTTGTTGTTGAATCACTTCCGACCCGTAGTGCCCACCTCCCCCTTGGAGGGCTGTATTGCCCACTTTGGGAAACATTGAAAAATCCAGACACAGAAAAAGTTGGAAGTGACACATTAGTTCTCCAGTTCATGGAAGAAAAATAAATCTACTAAAAATCAAAACAAAACGCTAAGTAGGAACCAAGATTATGGAACAATGGTGTCTTTTCCTAGGTCTTATCAATGTTAATAAGTTATCGTTTTAGTGGCTCTTAAGTTATGGCATCCTTTGGA